TAGTGAAGGACAGGGACTCCTTGTGCACCGCAGTCCATGGGGTCACAAAGAGTTGGACACGACTTAGCAACTGAACAACAATAAAAATTTCATAGGCTAATGAGTGGGAGGAGTAATTCCAGCTTTTTTTGGGAAGGGGTGAGGATTTCCAGGAATGGGACCACCATCCACTTTTGATGTTTATGGTCATTGTACCTGTGGGTGTGTCATTTAGCATACTAATGTGTTACAATGATCCAGATAACCCGATGTTGTGATCACTCACCTCCAGCCAGACACCCTGGAATGCAAAGTCAAGTGGGCCTTAGGAAGCATCATTATGAATAAAGCTAGTGGAGGTGATGGAATTCCAGTCGAGCTATTTCAAATCCTAAAAGATGATACGGTTAAAGTGCTGCACTCAATATGCCAGCAAATTTGGAAAACTCAGCAGTGGCCACAGGACTGGAAAAGGTCAGTTTTCATTCTAATCCCAAAGAAGGGCAATGCCAAAGAATGTTCAAATTACTGGACAATGGCACTCATCTCACACGCTAGCAAAGTAATGCTCAAAATTCTCCAAGCCAGGCTTCTACAGTACATGAACTATGAACTTCCAGATGTTCAAGCTGGATTTAGAAGAGCCAGAGGAACCAGAGATCAAATTGCCAATATCCGCTGGGGGAGATAGTTTAGTTGCTAAGTCATGTCTGACTCTTGTGACCCCATGGACTATAGCCTGCCAGGTTCCTCTGTCCATGGGATTCTCCAGGCAAGAATACTGGAGTGGGTTGCCATTTCCTTCTCCAGGGGATCTTCCTGACCCAGGAATCGAACCTGGCACTCCTGCACTGCAGGCAAATTCTTACCAACTGAGCTATGAGGGAAGCCCATTGTCCGTTAGATCATTGAAAAAGCAAGAGAGTTCCAGAAAAACATCTACTTCTGCTTTAATGAGTACGCCAAAGTCTTTGACTGTGTGGATCACAACAAACTATGGAAAATTCTTAAAGAGATGGGAATACCAGACTACCTTACTTGCCTCCTGAGAAATCTGTATGTAGGTTAAGAAGCAACAGTTAGAACTGGACATGGAACAACAGACTATTTCCAAATAGTACATCAAGGCTGTATATTGTCACCCTGCTTATTTAACTTATATGCAGAGTACATCATGAGAAATGTAGGGCTGAATGAAGCACAAGCTAGAATCAAGATTGCCAGGAGAAATTTCAGTAACCTCAGATATGCAGATGACACCACTGTTACGGCAGAAAGCGACGAAGAACTAAAGAGCCTCGATGAAAGTGAAAGAGGAGAGTGAAAAAGTTGGCTTCAAACTCAACATAATGGCATCTGGTCCCATCACTTCATGGCAAACATGGAAGATGTTTGCCATGGGGAAACAATGGAAACAGTGAGAGACTTTATTTTGGGGGGCTCCAAAATCACTGCAGATGGTGACTGCAGCCATGAAATTAAAAGATGCTTGCTCCTTGGTTATGACCAACCTAGACAGCATATTAAAAAGCAGAGACATTATTTTGCCACCACAGGTCTGTCTAGTCAAAGCTATGGTTTTTCCAGCAGTCATGTATAGATGTTAGAGTTGGACTATAAAGAAAGCTGAGTGCCAAAGAATTGATGCTTTTAAACTGTGGTGTTGGAGAAGACTCTTGAGAGTCCCTTGGACAGCAAAGAGATCCAACCAGTCCATCCTGAAGGAAATCAGTCCTGAATATTCATTGGAAGGACTGATGTTGAAGCTGAAACTCCAATACTTTGGCCACCTGATGTGAAGAGCTGATTCATTTGAAAAGACCCTGATGCTGGGAAAGATTGAAGGTGGGAAGAGAAGGAGATGACAGGAGATGTTTGGATAGCATCACCGACTCAATGGACATGAGTTTGAGTAAGCTCCAGGAATTGGTGATGGACAGGGAAGCCTGGCGTTGCTGCAGTCCACGGGGTTGCAAAGAGTCCGACACAACTGAGTGACTGAACTGAACTGAACTGAGAGCCCCTTGGACATTTAGGGGATCAAGCCAGTCAATCTTAGGGAAATCAACCCTGAATACGCATTGAAAGGACTGATGCTGAAGCTGAGACTCCAGTATTTTGGTCATCTGATAATGAGCACCTGACTCATTGGAAAAGTCCCTGATGTTGGGAAAGATTGAGGGCAGAAGGAGAAGTGGTCATCAGAGGATGAGATGGCTGGATCGCATCACCCATGCAATGGGCATGAACTTGGGCAAACTTCAGGAGATGGTGAGGGACAGAGAGGCCTGGTATGCTACAGTCCATGGGGTCACAAAGAGTTGGACACAACTAGGCAACTGAACAACAACAAACTCTCTAAGGCACTACCAGTGGCCGCTCCCTGGTTGGCTTTTTGCCTACCCTCCCAGGCTCACCTTAGCTGGATCACCCTCCTCGGGTATCTCCTTCAGCCCTCATCTTTTTTTTTTTTTTTTAAATTTTATTTATTTATTTTTGGCTATGCTGGGTCTTCATTGCTGAAAGGGCTTTTTTCTAGTTGCAGAGGCTACTCTTTAGTTGCTATGCTTGAGTTTCTCACTGTGGTGGCTTCTCTTGTGGAACATGGGCTCTAAACCACAGGCTCAGTAATTGTGGCAGGCAGGCTTAGTTGCTCTGAGGCATGTGCTATCTTCTCAGATTGGGGACTGAACCAGTATCTATCTCCTGCATTGGCAGGAGAATTCTTTCTGGTTGAGCCTCCAGGGAAGCCCACCCTCTTTTGTAAGCTCCACATTCCTTCCCTTTTTAGAGATGTCCTTTCTGCCTGGAACTCACTTTCATCCCCGACCGTTCTTCATCCTTTCTTCCTGTAGTTGAATTTTTTTATCTTTCCTTAAGGATTCCTTGCTGGACCTTTCTAAGTCAGTTACATCTCATTATTAGAGGCTCTTAAGCACAGGTTGCACTAGCCACATATGCAATTTCACATTTTCAGGGATTAGTTAACACTTTTAAATACAGGTAACATTTTTCTATTTGGCTGGGGACAATGCTAGATAACAGGATGGAGGTGTGCTCACACTGCATCTCCAGCACTTAGCCCAGTGCAGGCACAAATGTTACACACTTAATGAATATTTTAGACTTCTGATTGTAAGCACATTACTGATCACGAGAGTCGGACTGAAAAAATTGTATTTAGAAGTCATCAGCATATAGGTGGAGCCATAAAAATGCTCATGAAGCAAAACCATTGGGTTGAGCAACATGAAGGCTACTAGGAACCTTGCTTAGGTGGAATAATTGAAGAGAAGTCAAATTATAGTCACTTGAAAAGGAAGGAAGTAGCAGCAGTTAATACAGATGGTGATTGCCCACCAGAGTCTGGCTCTGAACAGGAGGAAAGAGGAAAGGTCAGGGGGGCCCTGTAGTAATTCTTTAATAACATCATTCTTGTATGATACAGACTATCTTGGATGAATAGGGGGGATTTACAGGTCACTTAAAGGTCACTTACAGGTCATTCCTTAAAATGGCAAGGAAATTGGAGCTGTTTAGTATCTACCTATAAAACAATAGTAACAGGCTTTGAATGAATAGTAAGGTATAGACATTTGTGCTCAGTTGCTCAGTGGTGTCCAACTCCTTGTGACCCCATGGACTGTAGCCTGCCAGGCTCCTGTGTCCATGGGATTCTCCAGGCAAGGATACTGGAGTGGGTTGCCATTTCCTTCTCCAGGGGACCTTCCCCATCTTTGGACCCAGGAATAGAATCCGGTCTCCTGTGGTTCCTGCATTGGCAGGCAGATTCTTTACTGCTCAGGCACCTGGGAATCCCCATACACATTTAAACCAGACTTTTGAATGCAAATAATTTGTTTGTAACTCGTCAACTAAGCGTTTCATATTTTTCTGCTTGGGGTAGGAGTACACTTAATTTATATTTTCTTTCAATAGTTCAACAGTATCCTTGAGTATACTTAATCTATATTTTCTTTTAATTGTCAAAAGTATACTTGAGTATACTTAATCTGTATTTTCTTTCAATTGTTCAATTTTACATCTGTTTAACAAGAGACTGTGGTTGCCAGTGACATGTGACCTGTTAGGGCTCCACCCCAGCATAAGAGGCTTTTCTATGTCTAGTACCAAGGGGAGAGAGGAAGGGAGAAGTGTATCCAATTTCTGGGCGATAAGATTACAGCCATATTGACTTTAGGACTGTATAAAATCAATTCTAAAACCAGACTGGATTTAACCACCCTCCCACGTTCTAAGATCAAATCAGCGCAAGTCACCACTTCCTATTCCTTTAAAAGCCCAGAAAGGCTCATAATTTAGTCTGACATTGCTCCAGGAGCACACGGCAGACAATAGCCATTACATTCGTCCTTTTCCTTTTCCGATGTCACTTTTCCAGCTCTGTTTCTAAATGTGTTTTTTTTTTTTCTAAATGTTTTTTATCACACGCCAACATCAAAAAACTGTCAAAGCCGCTTGGTTAGGAGCTCGTGGTCTACTTTGCCTGAAACCGATGGATGGGGGGTGGAGGGGTGGTTAAGTGGGTCTAAGTGGCCTTGAGGTCTTTGGGCAGAAAAAGGTCTTAGGGGCTGTGAGCCTAGCAGCCCTTTAACACCCCAAGTTTGCAAATCCGACTTGGTTGGTGGTGAAAAGAAATCTAAAGCCCGGATTCACGTTCTCCGTCAGTTTGCGCGTTGGGGGTCGGTGGCAGATAACTGCCCAGGCATCACGGGCAATCCCAGTTGTTAGCTCCCCGGGCAGGAGGGGTGGAGGGAAGCAGACACTGCCTTTTGTGGGGTTGTGAAAGGAAAATCTGTCCTAAAGAAAATTAATTTCCCAGAGGTGGCTTCCCCCGGGCAGAGGGGCGTTTCCAGGCCCACCGTGCGGTTGTTTGGTAAATAAGAATGTTTGCTCAGTGCCGGCTCCCGGAGAGGCGCTCCTGCACTCTCGTGCCCCGGGGGCTGGGACTAGGGCTTGGAGATTCCCGTCTGGAGGATCAGACAGTTTCTCCCCCAGGCATGATGGAGGGGCTGCGCTGTTCCCTGCGCCGGGTGGCCGGGGCACCCGGGCGGTGGCGGCCAGTTCCGCGCGGTGAGTGCGCTGGGGCTTGGCCGCGCCGCCCGCTTTCTCGTGGAGCCGGGTGCAGCGTGTCGCCGCCGCTCTCTGCTGCCGCGCGCCCCGGGAGGCTCCCGATGGCCAGCCCGCCCCCCGCCGCCGCGGCCCTAGCCCCTCAGGTACCCAGACCACAGGCTTTCTCGGGGGTGGGAGTAGGAATAGGGGTGGGGCAGACTGGACCCCAGGCTCTCGGAGGTCCACGGGCCTGGTCGGGCGCGCAGCTGCTGTTGCCCGCACCATCCTGCCTCCTTGCACCACTATTCTGTCTCCATCCGGGAGTCTCCTCTTTCCCCATCCCTTCCCCAAATCTAGAGTCCCAGTCTGCGAACGCCTCGGAGAGGCCCCCGCCAGCCAGATCTGAAAGTCCCGCCGGTGACCTGCTCCGGAGCGAGGCGCGGACAGCCACCGGGAACGTGAGGGTCGCCATGGAATCTGCTTTGGTGGAAGAGGTGGGGGCTGGGTGGGGGAGCAGAGGGAACGGAATTTTTGGGCTGCCAGAACTGACAGCCACATCCTGCGTGCCTTCGCCACCCGAAAATATTTTGTCCGTAGCTTTCTGCCTCCCTGAATCCTTTCTTCCTCGTCTTTCCCCTAGTGATGTAGCAGATTAGGTTTGTTTTTTTTTTTTTTTTTTGAAGGTCAGTACCTTTTCCTGTTTGACCTGTTTTCATTGCGTCCTTAAGTGTTTTTAAAATTTTACGCCCTCATTCCATGAGTTCTGTCCTTAACGGGTGTCCTTGCGCCTGCATTGGAGGACCCTACCCGTGGAGGAAATGGTTCACTCTGGTCCCCATCGCTTTTCCAGGCTTGCTATTGTGCGCCCATGATCGACAAGACCACGAGGCTGAGTGCGCCCAGGAGATTTCTCTGTTAATGGCTTTAAGCCCTAATCTAGACTATTTCCTCGGATAATAGGGAGACAATTACTTTCTTGTTCTTTGCTGGTGAACCCTGGCGCAGCAGGGCGAATCTGGAATTTAACCAGTCTGCTCGAAGCCAGCGGTGAAGAAAAAAACAGCCGCGACCTCCGACAGGGCAGAAAGAGAAGGACAGCTCTCGCAGGACGCTCTCCTTTGGGGCTAGTGCCTGGGTGTTTGATCCTCTTTTTCCTGTTTGCTTGGGGACCAGACCCGAGCGCAGCCAAGGGTGTGATGGTGAGTGATATTGATTACCCCAGACCCCAGTGAGACACCTAGTTTTACTTAATGGATTTAATTCTTCTTTAAGGACTGCAATAATGGATGCTCCGCAGAAGGTACTGGAGAAGGCGGATCCAACGAGGCGGTGGAGACTTTCAAGGTAAGTTACTTGCCAGAGGCTAAGTGAAACAGCAGTTCAGTTGAATACAGCCATTTCTTGTTGAGATTTGGGGCAGTTTTCTCAGCACAGGTTTATACAATAATTTAAATAAGCAGCCATGCTTTTTAAATTCCACTCTTCTGGGGAAAAAGTCGTATGGGGAGCAGTGTAGGACAGTCGTATAAAATTACCGGGCAGTTAATTGCTTATTTCATGAATTATAAAAGTTTTCTTGGAAAATAACCAGTTCATGACTTTCACCTTGAGGTTTATCTGATTATATGATACTTTTAACCCTTCACCCTATTTGTGGAAAAAGCTAAACTCATTTGTTTCCTCTTTAAGCAGCAGCTAATATTTTACAGTAAAAAGAAAAAAAATGGTTGTATTTCCTTCATTTCTCTCTAAATTCTGGGGTTTATATATATTAAATAACCTCATACTTCACAGAGGAATAGTGAGAAGCAAGAGAGAAAGAATCTTGTAAAGTATTTTTAAAAATCATAAGAACATAAAGGTAAGGTTTATTATCATTTTCTCCTTAATTCATTATCTCCTCCTGCTCTATTCCTCCAGGCCATGGAGATTTTTTCCTCCATGACTTTTCTTTTTTCCTCCTTCTGTTCTTCTGCTGCCTGTTTCAGTCACTGTCAATTGTCATCCATAGCACAGAATGTCCTAATGATCTCACATCCTGGCAGGGTTCAGAGATGGATGAGACTTGCTCATCAATTTCAAACATACCCAGCTCTTACTATGTGCCGGGGACTGTGCTAGGCACTGGAAATCCAAAGATAAATTTAATGTAAGATCTCTACTCTCAGGTTTTTTTAAAAATCAAAATATGATATAGTAATTTCCTTACTAAAATGTTTGTGAATTTTATTTGTTTGTGTTTTTCCTTGTCCTTTAAAGATAGTGTCCTCTAACCCAACAGTCGATAGTTGGGTTAGTCTATGAAAACTAAGTTCTAATACATTTTAGAGATGTAGATATTGAGTTATGGATCCTTGAAAGAATGAAATAAAAAGGATTCCTATTTGATAATCTCTAAAGGTCATCTTATATAGTAAATTCTTCACAGGCTATAGATAAATGAAAAAATTTCCCAAAAAGCTTTTATACTTTTATACATAGAAGAAGTGTTTGCAGAGTGAAGGGTTAATTCATCATGTAAATAATCTCTTTGTTAATTTAAATTTCTATATTTTAGATTATAGTTGAGGAGAGTGTATTGATATTCTCCAGGCCAGAATACTGGAGTGGGTAGCCTTTCTCTTCTCCAGGGGATATTCCCAACCCAGGAATCCAACCAGGGTCTCCTGCATTGCACGCAGATTCTTTACCAACTGAACTATCAGGGAAGCCCATTGATATTCTATACTTATGTGTTTGCATATCAAAACATCAGTGGTAATGGTGGTTGGATTCACAGTGCAATGTGATGAGGCAAATGAAAAATGAAACGTAATTTGTGGGGGAAAAAAATGGTGGATTTTACAGTACTCTGATGACTTTGGACTTTTTCTATCTCCTTCTTGATCACCTCATTTATAACTTTAAATTGCCTTGATCTCTCATGGATAGTTTTCATATTGTATCCCTTCTCCCATTTTGATACAGTCATTTTATTTTATTTATTTTTAAAATTTTTATCTTATATTGGAGTATAGCTGATTAACAATGCTGTGATAGTTTCAGGTGGACTGCAAAAGGACTCATTCATACATATACATGTTGATCCAGTAATTTTAAAGTAAGGAAACCATTTTCCGAGAGTCCGGTAATGAGGTGCCTTATTACTGGGAAGTCCTAGGGAATCTTTCTGTGGACTCCAGGGTCATCTTCATTTCAAGGAGGTCAACTGTCTGTTTCCTCCCCGTCCCTCTGCTTCCACAGCCCAAATTCTCTCCACAGCCCTAACTCTCCCATCCATACAACTTCCTTATTAGATTTTTTAAAAGTGTCTCTCCTCCTCCTAAGTTGCTTCAGTTGTGTCTCTAAATGATAACAAATGTAGCACCTATGGCTTTCTAAGAAAAGCAAGACAGATGCCCTTGTTTTAAAGTTATGCAATTTCTAAGGGCTTCCCAGGTGGCACGATAAAGAATCTACCTGCCAATACAGGAGACGCAAGAGAAACAGGTTTGATACCTGGGTCAGGAAGATCCACTGGAGGAAGAAATGGCAACACATTCCAGTATTCTTGCCTGGAAAGTCCTGACAGGTGTAATCCAGAGATAGCCTTTGAAAGTTTAAGTGCCGACTCAGAGAAGTACTGATGGCAATTGGATGTTGCTTGAATTCAGAGCTAATAATAGCCCTCAGGGGCTCTTAACCTAGTTGCACTAGCCTGGTGCATGCTTCCCCATCCCGGAGCAAATGGTTCCCTAACCACACATTTTGCATCAAGAAATGGTTGTTTTTTAATATGCCCTATTTTTGTCATATTTCATGTCGTTTCACAGCCCAGTCATTGTGGCCTTCCAGATTTTTCCACAAGCGTATGGTATGAGACATCCTGACTTTGAAATCATTGGAGAACATTGGAGCATTAGGAAGAGACAGAGTAATCATGAAGGAGAAAATAATGTGTTACAAATATTGTTATCCTATCCATCTTTAGAAGGGAACTATAGGACAAAGATGGCTTCTAAAGAACCCTGATAAAAATTGTGCATAAAGTTAGTTTCTTTTACATGAGTGCTTTTTCCTCTTTGATCTGTACTTCACATCTACTCAAACCAGTCACACACCTGCATATTGCCTGCTTACTTTTTAAAAAAATTTTTTTAATTTTTTCCATTTATTTTTATTAGTTGGAGGCTAATTACTTTACAATATTGTAGTGGTTTTTGTCATACATTGACATGAGTCAGCCAGGGATTTACATGTATTCCCCATCGTGATCCCCCCCTGCCCTGCCTCCCTCTCTACCCGATCCCTATGGGTCTTCCCAGTGCACCAGGCCCGAGCACTTGTCTCATGCATCCAGCCTGGGCTGGTGATCTGTTTCACCCTAGATAATATACATGTTTCGATGCTGTTCTCTTGAAACATCCCACCCTCACCTTCTCCCACAGAGTCCAAAAGTCTGTTCTGTACATCTGTGTCTCTTTTTCTGTTTTGCATATAGGGTTATCGTTACCATCTTTCTAAATTCCATATATATGTGTTAGTATACTGTATTGGTCTTTATCTTTCTGGCTTACTTCACTCTGTATAATGGGCTCCAGTTTCATCCATCTCATTAGAACTGATTCAAATGAATTCTTTTTAATGGCTGAGTAATATTCCATGGTGTATATGTACCACAGCTTCCTTATCCATTTGTCTGCTGATGGGCATCTAGGTTGCTTCCATGTCCTGGCTATTATAAACAGTGCTGCAGTGAACATTGGGGTGCACGTGTCTCTTTCAGATCTGGTTTCCTCGGTGTGTATGCCCAGAAGTGGGATTGCTGGGTCATATGGCAGTTCTATTTCCAGTTTTTTAAGAAATCTCCACACTGTTCTCCATAGTGGCTGTACTAGTTTGCATTCCCACCAACAGTGTAAGAGGGTTCCCTTTTCTCCACACCCTGTCCAGCATTTATTGCTTGTAGACTTTTGGATAGCAGCCATCCTGACTGGTGTGTAATGGTACCTCATTGTGGTTTTGATTTGCATTTCTCTGATAATGAGTGATGTTGAGCATTTTTTCATGTGTTTGTTAGCCATGTGTATGTCTTCTTTGGAGAAATGTCTGTTTAGTTCTTTGGCCCATTTTTTGATTGGGTCATTTATTTTTCTGGAATTGAGCTGCAGGCGTTGCTTGTATATTTTTGAGATTAATCCGTTGTTGCTTCGTTTGCTATTATTTTCTCCCAGTCTGAGGGCTGTCTTTTCACCTTGCTTATAGTTTCCTTTGTTGTGCAAAAGCTTTTAAGTTTGATTAGGTCCCATTTGTTTATTTTTGCTTTTATTTCCAATATTCTGGGAGGTGGGTCATAGAGGATCCTGCTGTGATTTATGTCAGAGAGTGTTTTGCCTATGTTCTCCTCTAGGCATTTTATAGTTTCTGGTCTTACATTTAGATCTTTAATCCATTTTGAGTTTATTTTTGTGTATGGTGTAAGAAAGTGTTCTAGTTTCATTCTTTTACAAGTGGTTGACCAGTTTTCCCAGAACCACTTGTTAAAGAGGTTGTCTTTTTTCCATTGTATATCCTTGCCTTCTTTGTCGAAGATAAGGTGTCCATAGGTTCGTGGATTCATCTCTGGGCTTTCTGTTCTGTTCCATTGATCTATATTTCTGTCTTTGTGCCATTTCCATACTGTCTTGATGACTGTGGCTTTGTAGTATAGTCTGAAGTCAGGCAGGTTGATTCCTCCAGGTCCATTCTTCTTTCTCAAGATTTCTTTGACTATTCGAGGTTTTTTGTATTTCCATACCGATTGTGAAATTATTTGTTCTAGTTCTGTGAAAAGTACCGTTGGTAGCTTGATAGGGATTGCATTGAATCTATAGATTGCTTTGGGTAGTATAGTCATTTTGACAATATTGATTCTTCCAATCCATGAACATGGTATATTTCTCCATCTGTTTGTGTCCTCTTTGATTTCTTTCATCAGTGTTTGATAGTTTTCTATGTATAGGTCTTTTATTTCTTTAGGTAGAGCTACTCCTAAATATTTTATTCTTTTTGTTGCAATGGTGAATGGAATTGTTTCCTTAATTTCTCTTTCTGTTTTCTCATTGTTAGTGTATAGGAATGCAAGGGATTTCTGTGTGTTAATTTTATATCCTGCAACTTTACTATATTCGTTGATTAGCTCTAGTAATTTTCTGGTAGAGTCTTTAGGATTTTCTATGTAGAGAATCATGTCTTCTGCAAACAGCAAGAGTTTCACGTCTTCTTTTCCTATCTGGATTCCTTTTGCTTCTTTTTCTGCCCTGATTGCTGTGGCCAAAACTTCCAAAACTATGTTGAATAGTAGTGGTGAGAGTGGGCACCCTTGT